AAGCCTGAAGATGATGAATGAGACTTCATCGAAACGTTGCCTAGATACTTCGAATCTTACGCGGGAGAAAACCCGAACAACCAAAGATCCACATACAAATACCCGCGAGAACCTCAGAAAACAAATATATATATATATATATTTCTTAAGTTTTCGCGGGTACTTACATGTATGAAGCCTGATGATGGCAGATGAGATTCTGCTGAAACGTCGCTATAACTTTAAAAGCACAACTACAATTACTTGGGAAAATATCCGAACAAAGCTGAATGACACACACACACACACACACACACACACACACACACACATATATATAAAACCTGGTAACTTTAAGACATTGTGGGAATTCTGGGAGTTGAAGTCCACAAGTCTTAAAAGTTGTGAAGCCTGATGATCCCTGATCTAGAATAACAATTAGAAAGAAGAGCCAAAAGCCATTGTCTATTCTTCTGGATCTCCTCGTGACCTTCCAGATGTTTTTTGGGGAAGCCATGATTCAGGAAGCAACATTCAAGATTAAATCCTCTTTCCCCCATGATTTTTTTTGTCCAATTCCCCAGTCTTCTAGACTAGCGACTATCACTAGGCTCAATGCCAACGAACTCCACGTGAACTCCATTGATTTAGACATTTCTCTAAATTTAGCAATAACTATCACCTCCCAATTCCTACGAGATTTGAAATAAGTTGTCACCGGTAAGAAAGGTTGGACCTATTGAAACCAAGAGCAAGGTTCAGTCGCCTGAACTTAAGAGAATGGAGGCCGAGCAGAAGCATCAGAAGAAATGTCTACCCAGAAGAGGGATAGATCCCTTCAATTTTAAAGGGACTTGATGGTCCTCTAGAATAGGGGTCTTCAACCTTGGCAACTTTAAGACTTGTGGACTTCAACTCCTAGAGTTCCTCAGCCAGCAAAGTTGAAGTCCACAAGTCTTAAAGTTGCCAAGATTGGAGACCCTTGCATAGAGGACACCTTCAGGACACTCTCACAGAACACACTGACTCTTTTGATGGGTTCATATGACACAAAGAAAGGAAACATAATATATGACTATTTGCTGAAACAAGGACTGGATTCCGACAGCAGAAACCACCCGATCCCCAAGTAATGCGTGAGGAACTGGCTGAGGAAATCTGGGAGTTGAAGTCCACAAGTCTTAAAGTTGCCAAGATTGGAGACCTCTGCTCTAAAAAGGACTGGTAGGTTCCTGACTGAGCAGGATTAACCGTGTTGGATTAACAGTGTCCGCTCCTGGCCCCTCACAGTAGAGGAACCTCTGCTACATAGCACATCTCCCCGTCACTCCATCCAAAACATGGGCCTCCGTGGAGTCGTGGGAGCCCTCCAAGAGGACAACATGTTCAAATTGGTTTGGCCTCTTTTGCCAGAGAGGAGTTGGAAGTCTGCCTAAAATCATAAAACAGCTTTGTAAGAAAGAAGAACGGAGCTAACATCCCAATACAAACTCCAGTGATGTTCTGGCAGAGACTGGGGGCTCTTGTTAATTTCCCTCCCACCGTACCCTGGATTTAATTTTATTATTTAAATAGTGCAAGGAACAAGAAAAGACCACAGTTCGTGAATCCTGGGAGAAGCCAGCTGGGTTTTGCATAAAGGCAAGAATTTGCTTCTGCTCTCTTATCATTGGAGGACTAAAAAAAAAGACATTCTTTTAGTTAATCAGCCAGCCTATATTGATTGAACATGGAAAAATCAAGCACTGTCTCAATTTACCTTCCTCCTGTGTGAGGGGTCATTAAGCAAGCAGTGGGGTGGAAGGCACCCGTGTCTCCATGCGTCTGTTATCACCAATCCCATTTGCATTTATAAGGAACACACACGTTAAAAAGAGATTGCCAAAGAGATGCATTTGATTATCGTTAAAAAAAGAAATAAAAAATAGAAGTCTTGGCTTTGCAAAGGAATAGCTCTTAAGAATGCTTGCAATTGGTCCAAATGGGAGCTATGAAATAGTTGAGGTTGATTGGGTAACGCAGGGGCTGTTTTAATTTAATGGCATTTAATACAACTGCGGGGCCGTGTTTTTGTTTCATTTTATTTGATTTTTTTTTCCCAGAGCAACCCCAGGATAGAGGCAGATTTTTTTGGGGAGGGCGGGGGGTGTAAAACCCTGATGCAGCTGGATTCCTCAGAAGGGACTTGAGAAGGTGCTGCAGCCGAGATGTTCATCCAGGATCTATGCCAGGCACAAGCAAGATCCCTGTGTGTAGAGCAGAGATCTCCAAACTTGTGGACTTCAACTCCCAGAATTCTTGGAGTTGAAGTCCGCAAGTCTTAAAAGTTGCCAAGTTTGGGATTCTGGGAGTTGAAATCCACAAGTCTTAAAGTGGCCAATTTTGGGGGGCCCTGGTGTAGAGTTTAAGCTTACTGGTCCTTTATTATATTTTTACCTATTATTCAGGATTCTTCCCAGACTGCCAGCCTTCACCTGGAAACAGGCAGATAAGGCTCTAAAGGAGCTTAAAGAAGGTCCGTTCTGGATCTGTTTTGGCTGCAACACAAGGATTCAAGGCTAATTAAGTGCTTGAGGCCTCTCCCTGCCTACCTGGGTGTTCCTGAATCTCCGGGGAGAGTATCCCCATCAGAACACAAAGGTATTACCTGAAACTTATAGTAAAGAGAGAAAGCATATTTGGCTATTCGTGTATTAACTGCAGCCAGAATTGTATTTACTCAAAACTGGGAAAGTGAAGAGATTCCTACTGATGGAAAATGTGATTAGAAAAATATTAGAATGTGCAGATATGAACAGATTATTAACACTTGCAATTAAAGAGAAGGAGCAAGCTGAATGTTTTAAGATATGGGAACTACATATATTGATTTATTTTAAGCTAGAGAAAAATACGAAAGCTACACGTAGCTAATAGATTAGTAAAATATAGAAAAGAGGTTTATAGAACTAAACATGTCAAAAAGAGGGGTGTTATAGTAATAGAGATATTATGTATATGAATAAGATAAGAAGAGAGAATTAATACCAAAGAAATGAACACGGATGCACAAGATATTTGTATTCAGATGACACACTGCTAAATGGAAGATGAATTGTATGTAGTTTAAATAAAATAAAATAAAATATTTACCAAAAAAAAAAAAGAATGCAAAGAAATGGGGAAGAGACCTTCTTTGGAAGGGAGAAGGGAGCTGCCAAGAATAGGATCAGCTACAAACCGGGCCGAGTTTGGTTCTGGTTTTTATTTCATTTCATGCCAACTCCAGAAATATATTGTCTTGAAGTCATAAATAATTCCCCTTGCCATTTTCTTTCTTTCTTCAAAAAGTAATTTAAAAAAAAACAGACAACAGGGGAACCTATAAATGCAAATAGTTTATTATCAATGAGCAACTAGTTTTTGGCCTGGATATTACTATAAAAAAAAACAAAAAACTATACAGCCAAAATCCTGGTAATACTCCAATATTTGCTGTATATTTTTTTCCATCATTTTTTTTTAAAAACAACAACTGTACTACTGAAAGACTTTTAGCCAAAGTGCATTTTCCATTTTTTGTCCATATACACATTGCACCGTACATAAATAATGACATTATAAAAATGACTCCATAATTACAAGTATAATATATATATTTATATATATATATATATATAAAACTTTATATTAAATCTAGGTAGATGATATTTGGGGTCCTCGGGGCTTCGCTCCTCAGCATGCAACAGCTACCTGTTGTTTATGTTGAGCAAAATTTCTAGCCAGCAGGGACAAGAGGTGATAAATTGCCTGGAGTAACAGGGCCCCCAGCCTTTCGCAAAGCTGATCCGGACGCTGTTCGGGTCGTAGGGTCCATCTGGGTAGTCCAAGTCAGGGGCATGGTTCAAGAGGCAGGATTTCTCGTAGTCAAAGGCCTTGATCGAATACCCAGGCATCACTTTGTGCACAATTAAGGTCCTACAGCTGGGAATGTCCAGCGTTGGGGAATTGACGAAGATCGGGTGCTCGCTTCGGTTGTAAGCCCACACGCCGTCCGCTTCTTTGCTGAGCAAAATCCCGTAGCCGATCTTGTTCCTAGTCCTCTGCACCGTCTCGTTCCTGTTCTCCGGGATGAGCTGTCCGAGGCAGAAGCCGTTTCCTTGAGGTAGGTCATAAAATATACTGACGGACTGTTCGTACACTGTGTAGAGGCGACCCACACGGGTCCGATGCTCCCAGTAGGCCACGTTGCACCAGTGGCTGTGCTTCGTGGCATCGGGCGACATGCTGGCATCTGGGAAGAGAGGAAGGGACAGGTTAGGTCAGGCCAAAGGAAGAGAAGCTCTGAACCAACATGGCTACTCGAGGCCTGGCGGCCGGAACTGCCACCTCGCTGCCAGCCTGCCGTGAACCTGGGGGTGGGGAGGTGGGGGAGGAGCTGGAGGGCTGGGCGAGGGCCTGAGGAAAAGTGAATGAAGACTTCAAGGTCATTCCCTTGCAAGAAGAAAGCCAACCTGTTCCCAAAACATGTCTTTTAAACTTGAATGGGTAATGAGAGACAAATAATGGGAAGGAACCAAGGAAAAGAAAGTTAACTGGCAAAAATCTGGCATGGCTTCTCACCCTCTGTAATTCACTTGACGTCTAGTAAACTGTCATGCCCCTGTTGGAGTCTGACTCTGAGGGAGAGGAGGAGGAACAGCCAACAGGGAATGGGAGTGTGGCTCCGGAGGTTGTGGAGGAAACTGGGGAAGGGCACAGACCAGCTGGGCATTCAGAGGAAGACCCAGGCCCATCCCCTCTTCATCCTAGGGCACCCAGGGAGGAGCGAATAAGGGAGAAATATGAGTGGTGTGGTCTATGGGGGGGAAGGGGCCCTGATCCCCTTCATGGGCTGCAGCTGTGAGGACTGTTTAAAAGGACAAACTGCGCACGGCCCAAAGCTGGAAGGAAAACGTGAAATAATTCTAGTCTTACAGTTCTTATCTGAGTTCTGGCGTCCTTCTCAGTGTGTATATTTCAATATATGTGGACGTCTTCAAGCCCTTATCCTGTCTTATCTCCTTAATTGCTTCAGTGTGGTTTGTGTTGCTTTTTTTCTATTTATAATTTATATGTATTTTGAGTTTGAACGGCATTTAGTTTACTTTATTGTCATTGCACCTCGTACAATGAAATCAAACACCATCTTCAGTGCACATCATGACCATGACCATGAAAAAGACTTGTGGACTTCAACTCCCAGAATCCCTGAGCTAATATGGATTGGAGGAGGAATTCTGGGAGTTGAAGTCCACAAGTCTTTAAAGCTGTCAAGTTTGGAGACCTCTGTTCTAGAACATCACTACCAAATAATGCCCTAATTGGAAGTTAAAGAGCATTTTTTGCGGACATGGATACACCACAGGGATGGCAGATTTGAAGATAAAAAGAAAAGGCTGAAATGGATGGATTATGCATCGCCCTTGAGGCATTTAGGTGGAAGAACAGATCACACCCATTTTTGCAAAAAGCAAAGGTTTTTTTACATACAAATAACACCTTACTGGCTGTTATATCTCACAATGATATTTGGATAATTTCTAGGTTTCTGGCTGGGGTCTGAATTACCAAAGAACATCCCTCAAAGACGAGATTCCTACTGTGTTAATTCTTTGATGAATAAAAAACAAGGTCAAACTGTTTAATTCTTGTTTAAAACCAGAATCAGAGAAAAACGCTTTGACCTTTCCATTTCACCTTCAAACCTGAACAGCGCAAAGATAAGAGTCCTTCTTCTGTGCCTTTTTTGGGGGTGTGTGTGTGCACATGAAAATACTTTCTAACAGCCCCGAAGTTGTTTTAAGGGATGTCATCTTTACAGGAACAGGAGAGCAGCCTTCCAATATTTGAGGAGCTGCCACAGAGAGGAGGAAGGGGGTCAAACTATTTTCTAAAGCACCTGAAGGCCAGACAAGGAATAATGGATGGAAACTGAACAAGGAGAGATTCAACCTGGAAATAAGGAGAAACTTTCTGTCAGTGAGAACAATCAACCCGTGGAACAGGAGTTGCCCTCGGAAGTTGTGGGAGCGCCATCGCTTGAGACCTTCAAGAAGAGACTGGACTGCCATCTGTCAGAAATGGTGTAGGGTCTCCCGCTTGGGCGGGGGTTGGACTAGATGACCTATAAGGTCCCTTCCAACTCTGATTATCTGTAATCTGTTAACAGCACAGAAATAGCAACTGAAGATAAATAACTAAGCAACCGGAGCATTAGATGTTTTCTGCCTCTGCTACTATCTGAAGCCTGTAGTCCTTTTCCCATCTTTTCCCAGGTTCTGTGGAACCTCAGCCAAGCATTCTTGGTTTGTGGGAAAAACCCTGAACCTGGCTCGGAGCTTCCCATCAAACCTATCGCAAGACGTCGCCCTCCTGACCTTGTTCCTTGAGGCCATCAAGTCCAATTAACTCTGAAGTCAAACCGATACCATCATTTGGCTTGAGAGAGAGCAGACTGACGCGCTGGATTTCAAAAATAGAGGCCTACTTTCTCTCTCCCGCTCCCACCCAACGACCCCCTTTCATTCTCAAATTTCACTGGCAGGAAAAGCAGACGTTACTTGCCCAGGGAACCAACCCTAAACTGCTGTTGTTTTGCTAAAGATTAACTTTGAGTTGTAACTCTCTGCAGTTTTCAAATGGGAGAGGAGGAAGAGGAGGAGGAGGAGGGGAATAATATCAACCTGGCTCAAGTTTCCCCAGGCAAAATCCAGGACCAAGAATGTTATTTGGTTCAAAAAAAACAACCACCACCACCCCAAAATGACTTTAGGAGACTTTAACCATGCAAAAACAAGCTTGTGAGAATGCTCAAGGATCAGAGGTCTCCAAACTTTAAGACTTCTGGACTTCAACTCCCTGGCTGGAGAATTCCGGGAGTTAAAAGTCCACAAGACTTAAAGGTGCCAAGTTTGGAGACCTCTGCTCAAGATTAACAGTCACGGGGGAAAAATGCCTGTGTGAATTGTTCTTCTGCAATTCGTCTCCCTGTGTTCTCAAAATTGGCTGATACACTGACATGTTCGCCTGAGCCTGCGGGGTTTGAACTTCAGGTCTACCTGTGTCCAAAACCAATGATACCACCAGCTACACAGTTCCTTAAAAACTAAGTTAGGCGCATGAAGGTCTGGCCTGAAAATGACAGTCCTAAATCAATCATCATCAAACAGAGAAGGAATTTTTTGGCCGGAGAAGGTTCAGGGAAATATGGGCAGGTTCAAGAGGAGCTACTCAGTCAAGCAAGTGGGTCCAGAGAAGGAACTGGAAGCTACATCCCAGAATTGAACTGAGGAAGCTTCTTGGATGAGAAGTGAAGCATCTTCAAAGAAAACACAAGGAAGTCTAGTTGCTTTTTGGAAAAAGACATTTGGGACGACTATGAGCTGGATGATTGAGAATCTCCGTAAACACGCTTAAAAGAGGTGCATTAAATTCCCACGCTGCTACACTTTAGGAAGCTGGAAAAGTATATTGCAAAGCTTTGAATGGTTAATTTATTGATTGATTTTTAATTCTAGTTTTGGTTTAATTGCACCAATTTTATGATGCTCTATTCTCTCCATTTTAATAGCTGCAAGCCATTTTGAGTGTTGGAATAAAGAGCTGGAATACATACATACGTCTGTCTATCTATCTATCTATCTATCTATCTATCTATCTATCTATCTATCT